TGTAGAATGTAAACTACTAAACTACGTATGGTACATGTACCACGTGGATGGGGTAGGTGGGTGTGGTATAGGCTTTTAATCAAGAATGGGCGTCTAAACAAGCATGGGCGTTTATTGTCAAAGTTATGTGCTGTCTCTAGGCGTTTATACAGGCATGGGCGTTTATAGGGAGTAGGCGTTTCCACGAGGAAATACGGTACATGTACATGTACAATTATTTATTTATTTATTGTTTATTATTCTTTACCTCAATATTCTGTTTCATTGCGATACTGCAACGATTGGCCTTCATAGCAGATGCAACCTTTAAAAATAATAAATAATGACCAATGACATCATATGACATCATACTTCAATCCATTGGGTAACACCAGACACTAAGAGCTGAGAACGATATGTTTCCATGGCAACGAGGTACCTCCCCCTTTGCCTCTTCTTTTCTTTGGCATAAAGATGCCAAATTCTCAGCAGCTGTAGATAAAATACATGTACATGTACACGTCACATTTTAAATGCGTTTATTAAAGTTGACAAAAAGTAATGTCAGCATTAATGTACCTTTCTTTCCAATGTCCTGCCCCAGTGGTAAAGAGAGAGTGTGGTTTGATGGCGATTAACTAATGTCTCCATAAACTAAATTAATAAAAATACATGTACACTATATTCTTCTCTAACTTGTACTCTCCATTTCAAATAATATGAAGAAATTAGTCTTGTCTTATTAAAATAGTCGCCTTTTCTGGTCAACTCCTGTAGAAAATGATAATTAACATACAACATAACATACATGTACATACATGTACATGTATGTACATGTATATCCAAACATTAATTTTCACAAAAAGGTACTTTCATGAACAAATAATTTCAGCTAAAGTATACTGTATGTACATGTATAGTAGGATAATGTATTTCATTTTTACTCTTTGCTTGACTTGAGTGTTGTGATAGGAGAGCCATCCTTTAAAAGAAATTGCTAGCAATCTTCTCCGTTTGAATTTGTGTCCTTTGTCTCTCATGACACGATACGATCTTCTATCTTGAGCATGCTTCAACCAAACAACAAAAATATCCCTCAAAATAACTATCAATAGTAATAATAATAATAATAATAATAGTAATAATAATAATAATAATAACTATTTTAATAATGACAACGTGCTCATCCAATACCATGTTCAAGAGCAGTCCTTAATACAGCGACTTTACTCTCAGCTACAGCTTTCTCTTCTAATCTCCTAATCATAGACTGCCTCCATATTCTCCAGTGCTGAATACAGCAGAAAGAAATTGAAGAGAAAGAGAGAGAGGATGAACTTACTGCAATCAGTAGTGTCTTGTGTCTGTGAACTAGTGACATTGTTAATAGTCTCCGCCTCCTTCGAATGTTATCTACATTAACCTTCCAATCATGCAAAGTATTACTAGAAGAACAAAATGAGAATTATATGTACTTCTTCTTAGGGCTTAACAAAACTTTTGGTTTTTTTTTCAAAAATTGGCTTGTTTTTTAAATGCTCATAACTTGAAAAAAATATGTCAGAATCAGCTCAAACTTTCTACACATCATAAGGACATCAATATGTATCAGAAAATGTAATAAAAATTTGGGGTGATTTCGGAGCCATTTTTTGAAAAAAAACCATGGGCTACTTTGACGTTTTCTTAAAATGGCCGTAACTTGAAAAATTGAAGTCGGAATCAACTCAAACTTGCTACATATCATAAGGACATCAATATGTATCAGAAAATGTAATAAAAATTTGGGGTGATTTCGGGGCCATTTTTTGGAAAAAACCATGGGCTATAGCCTTGGGTATTTTTCAGAATTTTGATGTTTTCTAAAATGGCCATAAACTTGAAAAATTGACGTCGGAATCAGCTCAAACTTGCTACACATCATAAGGACATCAATATGCATCATAAAATGTAATAAAAATTTGGGGTGATTTCGGAGCCATTTTTTGAAAAAACCATGGGCTATAGCCTTGGGTATTTT